AGAAAAAAAGTTATTTCAACCTTAAGGTTTTTTCTTGATTTTCGGAAAAAGCTAAAATTTCTCAATAATTACCATTAGTAATTTTTCTTTTTTTATATATAATTTCTGTAAATTCTCTGAAATTTTCAGTGGCGTTTTTTCGTTTTCTATTTCCTCAATATTGAAATGTTAATTTTATTATTGTAATTGATGCGATTGCCATTATCGCTGATCAAGAATCCACGGTTTACTACCTCGTTAATTTCATTTTTGATTTCATCAGAGCACTCAAGTTGGGATAAAAAGTCTATCAGATAGGGATGGGATTGAATTAAGTTCAGATAGTTCTATTAAACTTTTAACGGCTTCGTGGGTGCTTGGCGACCTAAGTAAGAGGTTATTTACTTTTTTTATATAGTTTTTGGTTCCTCCTGGGTCTTCGGGAGAACCACCATGGCCGCTCATGGCCACGGCGTTTTATTTATGATTTGTGTAAATCAGGATGGGAGCAAGCATTAAGCGGGATAAGTAAAAATGTGGAATGGACTTACTTGAAATGTGCAAAAGCGCACTCGAGAAAATTCAAAGTTTGTTATATAATATTATTATACTCAAAAACATTTTTTAGTTTTTACCTTAATTTTCTACTCGAATAAGTTATTAGAAATGTGTAAAATAAAGGACAGTATTGTATAGAATCTTTTAATAAAGTAACATAAAAAAAGTTCATACCAACTTAAAAATTATCTAACTAACTTAACAATTTATTGGCCAAACTAACAGTTAGTTACTATAGTAAAAAATGTTTATGTAAAAATACATGGATTATCAATGTATTTCTGTGACCATTGATTTATATGTGTTTTTTACATGTGAAATGTTTTTACAAATGAGTTGTAATCTTACATTGTATAGGTAAATTCAAAATTTGTAAATTTACCATATGGCTGTGTTATCACAATGTAAAATTATAAATTATTTGTAAAAATGTAGTAATAAGTAGTACCTACTTTTACTTAATGTATACTACAATTTGAAATTTTACAAATTGTTAGTGTTATTACAATGTAATATCGCATAAATATTATATATTCGTAACTCGTCAGTGATTTTACAACGCCTATATGTAACTATAGTTATAGTTATACGCGTTAAAATCCCCCCTGTTAACTTTTGAACCAAAAAAGATCGATTTCGGACAAAAACCAGGGTAAACAATATTGTGTTTACTACTTTTTTACGTCAGTATGAAATTTTTTTTGCCAAGAGGGCAGTATCAACCTGAAAATTTCAAGTGGAAAGGAGGTGCTTGTAATACCTAAGTTGAAAGGTATTTTAATTCTCTATTTAACACTTTTTTTGTTTTTAAAATCCGTTTAACCATAGCTTAGTTATTAAGCGTTTTTGTCGCTTCTACTCACATTTTCGCAGAGTGCGAATTATTGCAAACCAGTGCAATAATTATGCGTTTTTTCCAACTTTTTTGTTTTAAATACCCATACCAATATCCTGTTTTTAAGAAGATACAAAAATAAAATAATTAATATCTTTAGTATTAAATTGTTAGTTGTTCATGAAATTTAAATTAGTATTTGAATGTAAAATGGTTTGACATCGCCCATTAGAAGAAAAAACGGAGGCTATTTTTATTTATGGTGAAATGGGGCGAAATTTGCACGAAACAGAAAGCGTGTTTAATGAAAGGTACCCAGAAAACCCAATTTGCAGGAAATATCTACGGGATTTGGTTTTGATTGCCTGAGTATCCTGTCGTCCTCCTCATATTCATCGAGTCCATCATGGGGTTTGAAAGTACTCTCCAGATGGTCCTCGAAGGTGTCTGCCTTCTCCTCCTCTGAGTATACCAGTCCGTTGGGGCCGTGTAGGGGTTTTATGGCCTTGGACTCCTTGGCCTTAAGATTTTTAGCCAGCTTTCACAGTTCAGGGGCCGCCGTGTCCATGCAAGATAGTTTTTGTGTCCACATATCATCTCGGAACTCCCTCAGTTCCTCTCTAAGCTGTGCAGATACATCGGGGGGCAATGGCTTCAAAATTCGTTGTCTATCCACAGGTATAAGCCCTGAAGCTAAAAACCCAGCTTTTATTTATAACATTTGCTCCAACTTTTTGTAACGTTTCGTGCAGAAGTCTAGGGAATTCACTCTTTGGGAATACACCTCTGTTGGATTTTTTCCATTCTGATAAAACTCCTCTCCAAGCGTTTTTAAGTGGATGAAAGAACGCGACATCCAGCGGTTGACACAAGTGTGTCGAATTGGGCGGAAGTAAAATAAATTGTATGTTATTTTCCATACATTTATGTAAGACCATGATTGAGACATGACTGGAGAGATTATCCCCTATAAGGATTTTTTTTCCATCCAGTGATCTAAAATACGAAAGAGCTATTTTTCTAAACCAATCTTCAAAAATAGTTTGATCGAACCAGCCGCTTTTGTTTCGATTGTATGCTGTACCAGGAGGCCCATTCTCAAGCCAAGCAGGATATAGGTGCTGTGCCTTGTACACAACATAAGGTGCTAATAGTTTTCCAGAACCAGCCGCTGCCATCATAACTGATACACTTGATTTTGAGGAGTCCATAATCCTGTCTGCATGTTTTGAACCCCGTTTGACTACAACTTTAATTTTTCCAGGATCATCGGAAAAATTTGTTTCGTCGTAGTTAATTATATTTGGTGGTGGGACACCCTCAAGTGATTTTTCTAGCTCATTAAAATATTTATTTATCATTTCATGATTAACTGCCGCTCTTACCCTCTTAATGTTTTCAGACAGCCTAACGGAAATCTCCCCTTTATACCGAGAAATAAAATTTCTCATCCATTCCTTTCCAGGAATATTTCCGTTTCTAAACCTTCTATCAGTGATTCCTTTATTTTCCATATATATATGGACTATCTCCCTAATATATCTCATATGAAGGGGAAACCCCCCACTCCGCCATTTTTTTTATTCCCTCAATCAAAAATCTTTCTTCTTCATTACTTAAAGCCTTAGGACGTCCAGAATCACTAGTGTGTTTATTATTAATTTTGTCCGAAATGGTTGATTCTGGCACCCCATACTTTTCGGCTGCCGCCCGTATACTTAACTTTCGCCTTTTAACGTCGCTAACCGCTGAATCTATTTTTTCTGCATTTGTGACAGGTTTACCCTGTGCCAGGTAGCTTTCTAATAAACCAAAAGGTATCCGGGGAGTATGCCCTACTCAGCGGTGAGCTGGGGTGAGTTTTAGTTTTAAATACCTGGACGCCACGTGATTTTACTCCCAGAATACGTTCTGCTTTATTAACTGTTTGGGCCTTAAAGAAAAATCACGAAAAACAGTTAATCTTGGTTTATTAAATTCGCAAGGTTTCCTCGTAGAGGTTACGATACAACTAACCTACCCGTTTGTGATCACGTAGGGTTTACAAAACAATTATCATTAGATCAAGTAAAATGGTACAGGGCCTGAGGGACCCCTCTCCAAAAGAAGTAGAACAAAGTTACAATGTTTTACGTTAAAAGATTTAATGCCTGAGGGGCATTTGGTTCAAGGAACCAAGTGTTGGTGTTTACAAAATCAACCGATAAAAATATGAAACAAAAAAAAGGTACTCATCTACGTCCCAGTGCACTGTAGTAAGGTTCCAAACATACAGGGGAGTTCACATCCAGTAGTATCCTCCAGGATCAGGAACCCGGTGGCGAGCCTCTCATCGATAGAATAATGTAGGCAGTACAGGTTACTTTCTCATCGATAGAATAATGTAGGCCTTGGATACTTTCTCATCGATAGAATAATGTAGGTAGTACTCTAAATAACAACCTCTGGAAAAGGAACCCTTGAAAAAGGAACCCCTGGAAAAGGACCCTACAAGACAACGAAACCAAAATCGTTGTTGGGTGCGGTCGTTGTATGCAAATGGATGGAAGCTAAAATTAATTGCGATCAGACACAAAAGAGCAAGGTGTCAAGATGGCTTACCCTGGTCGTGGTACAAGAATCCGGAATCATCCGTGAGTACAAGGATTTCAACACAACAATACTACTCTATTTCCTTACGTACTCCCTTGCTGCACATGAATTTGAATCCCAAACACACTTGGAAGGCAATTACACAGCCTTATTAGAAAAATTCAATGCCAGCTATAACACGACCAGCACCCATCAATTTACCGGCTCTTTTGCCGGGCAATTTGCATACAACCGCGCAAGTCATTGACTTAAACTCCTACTTTTCGCTCCTAGATGGCGCTCTCAAAACAAAACCCAGTCAGATGCTTCGAAACCTAATTCTACTAATTAAACAAACAACCATAGGACTTAGACAAACTTACTTTACCCTCTTAATAAACTAAAAACCAAAATAAACGTAAATAATTTACAATAATTCCTCCATTCGTACTTCTCAAAACTTAAACTACCGACCACTAGATGGCTTCGGGCAAGATGGCAAGTTGCCGATAATAATGACGTCTTGAAAATGTTTTGACAGAATACAAACAGAAATTATTCAAATAAACAGGAAATTAATTAAATAAACGTTTCAATGCGACAGAGTAAGTTATACCAAATAAGCCCATTATACCCTAATAATGTTAACTTCATTTCAGGCTGACTAACAACCACAAAACTTAAAAATAAAACAGGAAATTAATTAAATAAACGTTGCAACGCGACAGAGTAAAGCTGAGTTTATGCTCACTAAAAATAAGAAATAAGAAATAAAAATAAAAAATAAGAAATAAAAATAAAAGTTAAAGGTTTATAATTGCTAACATCAATTTATGCTCACGAAAATAAGAAATAAAAAATAAGAAATAAAAATAAAAGTTGGCAATTTTCAACTTAAGATTCTTATTCTGCGTATTTTTGTGCGCAAATGATTTATTTTCCGTCGTTAGTTGACAATTGACATTTGCAAAGACATCAAAGAAGTCTGTGTCTAGACGCTTGTTGTTTAATTGTTTTGTTAAGTTAATTGTTGCTGTGTTAAATAATAATTAGAAATATGGACGACGGGGAATTAATCCGGTTAGTGCAGGGGTTCGAGAATATTTACGATAAAAAAAATAAAATGTTTAAAGACATCCAAGCAAAAAGAAATAGCTGGAACACTATTCGACAAATTTTAAATCCCAATGAGGAAATTACTGTGGAAGCAGTGGAAAAACGATGGGCGTATTTGCGCCAAAAATATACGCAAGTCCGCAAGGAGGTTTTGTGTCAACCATCTGGTTCGGGGGGAAAACCTCGATGCAAGTGGCCTTACTTTGACCAAATGGGGTTTCTTGACAATTTTATTCAAGGAAGACGGTAAGCAATTATGCACAGTTTTGTATGTCGTATATCTACTATTATAATATATTTTCAGACGAAGTTGTAACTATACAAAAAACAAAGCAGCTTGTAGTAATGCTGAGGAAATTTCTCAAGAACATAATGTTCTTGAAGAATCCCCTCAAGAACATTGTGATGTTTTTGAGGAATTTCCTCAGTATTTTCAAGAGGAAGCGTCTGAGGACGCCGGCAATGACGATTTGCCGCAAACGTCCCAATGGGACACTCTGAATGTTATAGTCGTCGAAGATGAGGCTGAAAAAAATATTATACGCCCTGTTCCCAAGGCAGACGCCGAAGCAAAAAAAGTTGGAGCTGCAGTGGAACGTGGTCGCACTGGTCTTTTAAGACGACAGGGCACGAAAAGAAGAGCCACACAACCTGCGGGCCCTTCCGAGCAGACCATGGATAAATATCTGCAAAGCCTAACGGCCTATTTAGACAAAGAAAATGTCAGTGCACAAGATGATGCCTTTACCAATGCTTTGGGCACTCTGGTTGGAGGCATAAGAAATAAGTCCCGTCGCAGGCTTGCTAAAAGGCAAATACTTAGGTTGGCGGCCACCTTTAACTCAACAAGTGAGGATTCTGAAAGTGAGACCTGACACAACGGGGTGAACCCTGACTTTCTCCTGTTTTGTAAAAACTAGTCCCTCCTTAAATGTTAAATAAATCAATAAATAAAATAATTTGCAAAATATCATTTATTTTTATGAAATTACACTATTATATTATAATTACAAAACAGTTTTCTTATAGTATACTAACAGCGTAATTATATGTTATTATCGCATCAGGCAAAATGTAAAAATTAAATAAAAATAAACAATATAAATTCAAATTTCACAAAGAGTAATAATAATTATAAAGATCAAATTGCTCAAATCCAAAGTGTTTTATTATTAAAAATTAAATGGATATCTGGTTTTAAATTATTGTTTTAATATTTTTTTGTCCTTTCTGTTTATAATATAAACTATTGTTTATATTATAAACAGAAAGGACATATATATATATATATACTTATAATATACATATATACATATATATATATATATAATAATAATAATAATATAAACTTTATATACTTTTTATACATTTTTGTTTAGTCCATATTTTGTTTAAACTATCTTTTAAAACCATTTTAGTTATATTAGCTAGCTTACATACTGTGATTTAAATGTTTTATCTGTTAATTATTCCCTGTTTTACTGGGATTGAAATCCGGATAATCACTTAATAATAAAAGCACTTCAGATTTGACTCAAATTTGAGATAATGATCATTCTTCAAGTTACAAGATTCATCAGACATAATGAGTAGGTAAAGCACCTCTGTTAATTATATTATCTTGCCAGGGCACTGAACCTTTTTCAGAAGAAAGATAAGAAGCTAAAATATCTCTTGACCTTTTGACGCTATCTGGCGCATTATTTGACCCGGTTCTACCCACTTGTCTTAGTAAGAGTCCCTCTTCCCTCCATCGTCCTGGTATTATGTTGCCATCTTCATCCTCATGGTCTACGAACCCTGTTGGGCAGTACCTCCTTTGGTCTAAATCAATGTCCTCTTCTCCTCGTTGAACAAAGTTATGTAGAACAACTGCAGCTTTTGTAATTTGTTCGCACATGCTTATGCTCGCAATGATAGGCTTTAAAAATATCCTCCACCGTGCCGCCAATACACCAAAAGTATTCTCAATCATGCGCCTAGCGCGCGATAGGCGGTAATTAAAAATCCGTTTTACATTGTCTAACTCGCGACCGGGATATGGTCTCATAATGTGTTTGTTCAAAGGGAATGCCTGGTCAGCCACTAAAAAGGTCGGGAGCTTCACGTCCGTAGAGGGTAGTTTGCGGTCTGCAGGAAATTCCAAGGTTCCATTTAATATGTTTTCACCAAATGCTGAAGAGGAAAAAATGGCACTATCATGATTTGAACCTGGACTGCCAATGTCTACAAAAATAAATTTATAAAAAGCGTCGCAGGTGGCCATCAACACCAAACTAAAATAAAAAGACAGCATATTTTAATGTCATGTAATATTACATGTACCTAATACCAACCTAAAAGTTTTATGATAATTTAGGTATTCAGTTCCGGAATATTTTGGTGATCGAATTAGTATATGTTTGCCATCCAAGGCTCCCACACAATTCGGCATGTTCCATCTGTTAAAGAAAGCATTTGTGATTTTCAATAAATCTGACTTCTCCGGAAAAGGTAAATAGATTGGTGCTAACACGTCCCATATAATACTGGTCATTTCCTTAAGAATTTTATGTATGGTTGCTTTTCCCAGTTTGAAGTTGAATGCCATTTCCTGCATGCTGCACCCTTCTGCAAGGTAGCTGAAAAAAGTCGTTAAATACAAAAGAGAAATAATTTCGTTATAATTACCGAATGGTGATGCAGAGCCTCTCCTCAATTGAAATCGTAAAAACAGTTTTTCTTTTTCGGACATAAGGGGACACGAGCCGTAACAACTGATCCCACATAGGTACATTCATTCGCGTGTACACAAAAAATAGTTCTTCATCAATTACCTTCATTTGTTTAAATAAAGAATAGAAATTTCCATTGCGTCGCCTGTCTCGGTTGAGGGGGCGAACGCTATATCGCCTTAGACGTCTGCTTAACAATGCCGCAGTTGTTAATAAAAGCAGTTTTTTGACATTCATTGTCAACTATACAGTTAATAACTTTTTAATTATAAAACTTTCAAAATACCAAAGTTCGTTGCAAAATATAAGAACAATTTGACAGCAATTGTGACAATATACAAGTAGCGACATCTCTAAACCGACCTCAAAAACTTTTGTTTTGACAGAAGTCTTATTTCTATTAAAGTCGACCATAAACGCAATTTCAAATTCTTATTTCTTATTACTTATTTCTTATTTCTTATTTTTTATTTCTTATTTCTTATTTTTATTGAGCATAAACTCAGCTTCAGTTATACCAAATAATCCCATTATACACTAATAATGTTAAGTTCCTTTCAGGCTGACTAAAAACCACAAAACTTAAAAATACCCCCTTAGTTCGAATAAGCACTCGAAACATCTGACTAAAATTGATTTACCAACCATCTTAACAAATCCAAGATCAACTGCTGTTTAATTTAACAAAAGGAAATTCTTAAAAGCTAAAAATGCAAAACAACACGTCACACATTATAGTACTTGTATGGCCTTCCCCCCAATATTCTTTTGTAGTTTCTGACCATTTTTAGGTGTCCGAATTTACCCTACGGTACAACTATTATTAATAAAAACATATATAAAATTGTTTGCAAATAAAATTTTAAACTCAAATTTGGACACAAGTTAGGTTATACGTCAGTTTAGAATAAAAAATGCTTATTTTAATCCATGTCATTATTGTTAAAGATCTACACTAGTTATAAATCGTGATTTCTATAAATTTATAATTTATGCTTATTTATAAACTTACCTTATGACAAAATTACACCACTATAACAACAAATTGCCACCGTTATTTAAAGTTTGTACTACAGTGATCAGATTTACAATGATAAAAAAGTTCAGCTGCTCATCACGAGATAGCAGTGCAAGTAAATTTGATTTTACGCCCGATTTTCCGATATTACCGGTACTGTCCGAAGTTACCCCACTTGACGGCACTTGTTAGGCAAAAAATTTTTATTTTGACTACAAAAAGTAGTAAACACAATATAGTTTACCCTGGTTTTTGTCCGACATCGATATCTTATTTGGTTCAAAAGTTAACAGGGGGGGGATTTTAACGCGCTCACTGTATATTGCAATACCGCTTAGGTACTAACGTAGCAAAAATGAGAATTGGTATATAGATTGTTTTTATATATTTTTTTATAATAATAAATTTAAATTTATTAAAAAATTTTGTTAAAATAAATAAATGGAAAAAAAACATAGGGTGTAGGTACACAATGCAAATATCAAATCTCATTTTTGTTTGTACCTAAACGGTATACGCGGAAATGTAGCTTTACCAACGAAATGTTTAAGGAAAAAGGAAAGTATAGGTAACATTTAAAAGAAATAGCTATGGCTGTTAATAATATTTATGTATTTTTACATTACAACTTAATTTTCCTGAAATCGATAAGCTATTAGAAATATGATTTTTTTAAATATAAACCCTGAAAAGGGTATAAGAATTGCAGATGATTGTGCAATCTTTTCGTAAACATTTTAACAATACTTTTGCCACGTTTCTGTGATATTTCAAGTGAAGTTCATATCGTCTTACAGTTCTACAATTAATGCACTGAAATAAATAATTAATTTACCGACCTTTTAACAAAAATGTCCAGACTGACCCAAACTCGAAATAAAAATAAAACTGCAGCTGCAGCACATGTAATGTGTATAACAAGTCGTCAACTTTTGTTGTGGTTCCCCTTATGTGGTGGCGTGGTGATCACGTGATTGAAAACAGTGCTTTGATTGGTTATATTTAGTGATGCCGCGAGACGAGACGAGAAAAGTCCTTCTCTCGTCTCGTCTCGTGCAGCGAGAGAAAATGGGTCTCTCGTCTCGTCTCGTTTCTCTCGTGGTAAAAGTACCTAAGTATGAATACAAAAATTATTTGGAATAAAATACGAATTCGTTTATATATTTTTTTCTACTCCTATTACGGAATTCGTCCGTTCTAATATCACTTTTATCTATGGAATGACATATATTCCGTAAAGTGTTACAGAATGAAATATTCTATCATCGGATGACAGAATAAACATGTGTCGTGGCGACATCTCTGTTTTTAATATCTAACAAATTTTAGACCGATCCAACCTCACTTTCTTCCAATTAAATTATTTTTCTATGGTATTTTTTGGAAACGTAGAAAAAGTATAGTCTGAAACACGTTTGGAATTGCATATTCCGCTCTCGTAACTCTTCACTCTAGCAGAATATGCTGTATTCCAAACTTGTTACAGAATATACTATTATATAGAAATTTAAACTGGAAATAAAAAAAATGTGTGCCAAGACCACACTAATAAAGTAAGACTTTTTACGCCGAAAATGTTACGCATTTGAATCAAATGGTTGGATCTATGTGGAGTAGTTACATCTAGTATTATACAATTATAATAGGTGTTTCTTTTAACCTGAGACAGATCAATATCTCGTGAAATACGCATTTCACAGAAAAATGTCTTAAATAAAAGGTTAATGTGACCAAAGGGGACATTATTTGGTGCTACCACTAGCCACCCCCTACCCCTCCTTAAGGGTGAAACGGGGGGTAACTTTAGAAAGTCAAATGAAATGACCCGATTTTTTCACAGATTTTGGTAGTACATACTTTTTTTTAATTTATCAACAGATGGCGCTTTAGTTCAAAATTTAAGAAAATTGGGTTTCCTTGTAAAATGTATTATTTGAAACGTTTGAAAAACAAAAATTAACATTAAATCAACAATAGTCGGCTCTGAAAACCATTTATAACGAATGTTCAAAATGTCATCCTTTCATTTCGACACATTTTTGAATGCGGGTAATGAATTCTGGCTCCACGATGTCCTCCCGAGTTGTAGGAATTGCAGCGTAAACTTTTTCTTTCAAGTAACCCCACAGGAAGAAGTCTGGCAGATCGTTTTCTAGAAAATTCCGGTAATTTTCACCATTTAATGCCGTTCGCCAAAGGTACCGCACCAAACGTTTACCGACCAGGGACGCTGGTGCTCCACTTGGTGTCGAAATGGAAGGACGACATTTTGAACATTTGTTATAAATTGTTTTCAGAGCCGACTATTGTTGATTTAATGTTAATTTTTGTTTTTCAAACGTTTCAAATAATACATTTTACAGGGAAACCCATTTTTCTTAAATTTTGAATTACAGCGCCATCTGTTGATAAATTGAAAAAAGTTTTAAATAAAAGTTATTCATTTTTTTATGTACTACAAAAATCTGTAAAAAAAATGGTTATCCCATTTGACTCTCCAAAGTTACCCTCCGTTTCACCCTTAAGGAGGGGTAGGGGGTGGCTAGCGGTAGCACCAAATAATGTCCCCTTTGGTCACATTAACCTTTTATTTAAATCATTTTTCCGTGAAATGCGTATTTCTCGAGATATTGAGCTGTCTCAAGTAGTTTTCAATGGATCAAAACATTTGATCCATCCATCTGGAAACTATTGCGCATATATGATGTAACTACTCCACATAGATCCAACCATCCTGTACCTACTGCGCATGTCCGTCATTTTGAATCCACAATTTTGTTTTTTTAATGGATATCAAATTCTGAATCAGGGATCCCATAAATATCTGAATACTAAATTTTACCCAAACCATTAAAGCCGAACGACGAATTTTCGTCATATTGGATCAGCCATTTTATTAAAAAAAAAATGGATATCAAATTTGTTATCAGGCCCTCAAAAACCACAAGTTTATTGAATAAGAAATGCTTATTAAGCATACGGGTTTTTTTAATAGTATAAGGAGTGCCATAGATGTGCTTATACAGGGTAAATTTTAAAAATTATTATTATTTTATAAGTAATTTTTTCTTGGTTAACGTTAAGTTGTGTAATAAAATGATACAACGTTAACCAGGAACAAATTTTGTTTATTATGAAATGCGAATAATGTTCTCATTGGTCCAAATAAATATCGTCATTTATGTGCAAAATTAAAATTTTTATGTAAAAAAAAATTGTTTTTTTATAATCGAGAGAACGAGAGAGATCGAGAGAAACGAGAAATTCTCGAGCGAGAGAGGGCATTCTCTCGTCTCGTCTCGAGCCTTTTTTCGAGAGAAAATCGCCCTCTCGTCTCGTCGAGACGAGACGAGAGGCGAGAATCTCTCGTATCGGCGGCATCACTAGTTATATTTCACACGTGAATCGTATTTTTACAAATGTTATGTATTTTTACATATTTTAAGTAATTTCACCAATTAGATTCCTTTTTACAACGTTGTTTAACTGTATATATCCGATAAATTTGTACATTTACATTTATTTATATGTAAAGGAAACATGTTTATCATCGTAAAACACTTGTAATTTTACATGCATTTTTTACTGTGCAAAAACATTTTGACAATTTTCAATAATAAAGAATATGTACTAGAATTATTGATTATTGAAAATTGTTTTTTAAGTATTACAAAATAACAAAAAAATTAATCAGATTCGTCCGACTCAAAGGATATAAAAATTTCCCAAATTTTTTTTTTTATTATTTTTTTTGTTTTTGATTTTTTACGGCAGATAAATAGCTTGCCACAAGCTTTCCAAATGTGGTATCTGCGTTTTCGGGGACAGGGAAGGAAGGCTGTTTTTGCTCCTCACGGTAACTGTTAAATCCACTCATGGCTACCTTAAGAGCAGACCCCAACTCGCTCCTTGACGGCTAGTTGAGGAAGTGGATGGGGTCATTGATTCGGTGGGAGTCACTAAGGACAAGGACATTGAATCATCATCAATATTCAATTCTATGTCCCCTCCGAAATGTGTGAATATGTGTCTCATACCTTGTGGGCTTCTGTGGGCATTTGTGTGCTTTTTAACTCTTGCACATTTCTTTTAGTTCTGAAATAGTTATTTAAAATAAATAATAATATCTAACTAATAAATTTAAAAGTAAAAGTAATTTAATACTAGTGCCTTAAAATTATATTTTTGACACTGACAACAAGCGTTTGTAGATAAAATCAATTTACAAAAATAACAGGGTGTTGAAAAATAACTAACTTTCTGGGAAAAGGTATCAAAAACTGCATTGCCTTAAATAATGGCCATTGGTGCGTGGCCTGTCTTCCGGATGGTGTGTTTTTTGATTGTCTTAGTTCCGTTGAAAATCGGTTTCTGAGGATTGTCCATCTTTGTTCACATTCTTGAGCTACAACAGCAAAATATTCATTTAAATTTGCTTGCTTCTCGTTAAAAACTTTTAGTACTTACGACTCACATTCATAACGGCCGCTATGGTTTGCCAAGCATTTTCCTTGACTATTTTATCTTTAAAAGCCGGATCGTTTTTATTATAAATAAAAGTAAAGCACTCTACTTGCTCAATAAGTTGCCCATCATCTAAAATGATCATTTGCGCTATTCCCAAACAATAACAAAACACTTCAAAACAAGTAGGTAACAAAAACACAAATCACAAAGGTTAATAAGAAATTTTATCTAGTTTTATTTCATTTCATAGTATTAAATTCATTTTAACTTTTTAATGTTAATGTTAACTTAATGTTAATTTGTGCTGCATAAATCCACCATTAGTCTTTGTTAATATCTAGAATATGCAATGTTGTGACGCTTTCTCAAAATTGGTACTCAGTATTATATGGAATTTTGGAAATTGGTACTAAAATTTAAAAAATGATATTATATGGGCGCGAGATATTTTATAAAGTAAGATAATGTTATTATTAGTTAAAATATCAAATCCTAATAATAGTGATACTGATCTTAAAGAAATTTAATTTAATAAAAATAAATAAAATGTGAAAATTTGTGGTGAGATGAAAATAAAAGAAATTAGATAATATTTTACACCCTATATATTTAGTGAAGTTTTCAGGGAGCTTACTTACAAACTAAATTAAATTTATAAATACCTAGACATACTTAAATACACAAGTGCATGGCTGTAACAGTAAACAATTTATCAATATAAATAAAATCAACATTTTGGTACCCAATAAAATGAAATATTACCTTGTTACAATTTGTATGCCTTAAACTAAAAGTTCTTCAAAACCATGTGAAGCTCACGTGCCAGACGAGCTATGCTCCAGTCTGGGCTTTAGTAAAATCCACTTAAGGGTGACAAAAATTCCATTATTTTTCAGTCGAAAACGGTGATTGAAAAAGATTGAAATTAAACACTTGAAAGCGTGTTCTCATATAGCGAGGCCTACAAAAAAATTACATCATGGAGTCTTAATTGCGAATTAAATTAAAATTTGCTTAAATAATTAAACATAACAAAACTGATTAATTACCTTAGTTGTTGTGTGGCGTCATAGTGGTAAAATATCACTTAGTTAAAACATTAATTGATCAGCATTAAAGAAATACAATTTTTGACGGTCAGCCCTGACCTACGCTAATCAAATCTTGCAACGAAAAGAAAGCAACAAGCCTCGTTCATTAACAAAAGCGTGGCTTCCTGCTGCCTTAATCATGCGCTTTGTAAATCAACATATCCCACTACAAAATTACCTTGACAACCAAACAACAAAAATTATTTTAAATTATTATTACTAAATTCAAACAAATTTAATAATAAAGATAAAAGTAATGGCGTTATTTGTAAGACTCCTTGATGTAAAATATCTTGTAAAACGTTTTCATCAATTAATAAAAAGTTTTCATTAAACCATTATAAGAAATCCCTATAACGATTTTTGACATAAGAATAGGTAATTTAAATGCGATTTACACAATTAATCATCTAGAAAAAATATACAATTTTAACAAACTATACTTAATATTAACAATATATATAAATTTTAAATACATTCATAAAGGCGAATATGTCACCAATTTTACAAATATCCAGCGGGGTAGAAGTAAGTGAAGGTCAAAATAAACGCGCTACTAATTAAAACATTGCATACCACAAAATATCACTGGTTGCCTATATTAAACATATGAAGACAAAATTTATTTGCTTTTAAAAAATTGTAACGGCCAATTGGCACGTTACACCACCCCTCTCAGTAAAAAAAATAGACTTTTCTATTTTTTTTGTTTGCCTCGAGTCCTCGCGTACTAAACGTCCTTATGGAAGTCACTAACTGGTAGCTATCGCATACTAAACGTCCTTATGGAAGTCACTAAATGGTATCTATCGCGTACTACACGTCCTTATGGGAGTCACTAAATGGTATCTATCGCGTACTAAACGTTCTTATATGACACACTCGGTAAAAATTATAAAAGAAAACTATTTGGAAATAACTATGAATATATCTATTATCATTTACCTTAACATTACTTAAGTAATAATTATTACTAAAATTTAAATTGTTGAATGGCCTTTTTTATTTTGAAAATTACTAGATTATACTTATACAAAAAAAATGGGTGAAGCACAATTTCTTGTGAAACAAAAATTAAGGCTTAAATCCAACCCGAAATTGAGTTTTCTTAAACTAACAAAGATATATATGTAGATAGCCCTACAAAAAGCAATAGTAGTCTTAGCAGTTCATCGTAGCGACGAATCAAAATGTCGGCCTGATACAATAATTATTTATATGAAAAAAATATAAACAAAACAAACTCTTACGACGGAATTGAGGCTACAGACACGTCGGAGTTGGAACCAAAATATTTTTAAGGTCCTTAACATGCCAGTCTCCTGCATCTGTACCATTTAAATAAGATAAACTATACACTAAATCGGAAATGCGTTTTTTAACTTGACAGATGACATATTTTGGAGCTAATTTTGAAGAAAAATTATTGGCTGCGCAACTCAATACTTTATTTCTTTTCCAAACTTTCTCATTAACTTCAAATCGTGTGTCTTTTTCTTAAGTTATAATACTTTGCATTAACCTTATAAGCCTTATTTAAATTATCCTTAACATCATTAAAAATTTCAACTAACTTACTACAATTTTTGGCGTAATTTTGTCTATCATCTGTAGAAAACTTTAAATCATCAGTATTTTTTACCAAACCATAATACTTTCCTGAAATTGGAATGTATCTTGCGAAATTCAAAAATGATGGTGCAAAACCCGTGACTTCGGGCTTAGCGGTATTAAAAGCATGTTGAATTTCCGGCAAAAACTTATCACAATTCTTATGCATATCTATATAACTACGAATGGCAGTTCCTATGGTTCTATTATATCGTTCAACAAAGTTAATCTGAGCATGATATCGAGCATTATAGCAGATCTTTTGAACATTATATTTGGCAGCTAATTTTTTAAACTCTTTTTCCGCAAGTTGGGTCCCATTATCTACCATTATTACCTGCGGTACCCCCCAAGTAAGAAATACGGACTACAAATTTAACAATATTATTAGCAGTTGCTGCTCGAATTGGGTGTAGTAAATTTAGTAAACCAATCTGTAATAACCAACAAAAATAACCACTAGGTGATCTGGGAAAAGGACCCACTAAATCTGCTGCCATAATTTGTCGCGGAAATTCAACAAGCTTCTGCTTACCCATAAACCCAGCACGAGCCTCTTGTGAAACCTTTTGAGATCCACACACTTTACATTTTTAACAAAATTTAAAACATCCTTACGCATCTTAGGCCAGTAGTAATTATCTCTTATTCTCGATAGTGTTTTATAAAAACCAAAGTGTGATGAGGTAGGTGGGTCGTGGCAATGTTTTAAAATTTCTTGTCTTTGCGATCTGGGAACTAAAATTTTCCACTCAGAAATATTAGTTTTTATATTAAGAGTATTGGGAACGAATTTATAAATAAAATTGTCAATAATTTTAAAGTTAGGAAAGTTATCTGGGGATTCTAAAATATTTTTACGTAATTTAATGTAGTACTGATCCAAGTTACTCAAAGAAACATTTAAAACATATATGGCAAGATAAATTCTTAAGGCATTTGCTACTACCATGTATTTTCCTTTTCTATGAATGACATCAAAACTATATTGCTTTAATTTAAGTGACCATCCAGCTAGCTTGCCAGTTGGATTTTGCAAATTTTTTAGCCATTTTAATGCTGAGTGGTCTGTTACTAAAGTAAAATGTTTGCCTTAAACATACATACGAAATTTTTCTAAAGAGAATAACATGGCTAGCTGTTCCCGTTGAGTAATGGAGAGATTACGTTCTTGCTTAGTATGACCCCTACTTGCAAAAGCTATAACAGATTCAGTTCCCTCAAAATCTTGCAAAAGGACACTTCCCAACCCAGTGTCACTGGCGTCACACTGAATTGTAAAAGGTTTCGTAAAGTCGGGGCTACGTAAGATAGGAGCAGAGACAAGAGCTTATTTTAGTTCACAAAAAGCTTTTCCAGCTTCATCAGACCATAAAATATCAGATTTCTTTCTTACTTTTCCCGATAATAAATTATTAATAGATGGTACAATAGATGAAAAATGCGGAATAAAACGACGATACCACGATGTCAAACCTATATATTAATCTTTTAATCTCAGTTGTATTGGTAGGTCTAGGGAAATTAACAATACTAACAACTTTATCTGGATCAGTGCACAAACCGTTTTTATCAATAACAAAACCTAAATACTTTAAACTTGGCCTAAAGAATTCACACTTTTTAATATTAACTGTAAGATTAGCTTCTTTTAAACGGTCTTTAACTTCTTTGAGTAATTGAATATGTTCTTCAAAAGTTGGGCTAGTAACTATAATATCATCTAGGTACACAAAGATTCTAGGTTCATACTTAGGACCAAAAATAGCGTCCATCAAACGCTGCTGCGTTTGGGCTGAATTTATTAAACCAAAAGGGACACGTGAAAAAGTCCACGGCCCGGTACTGAAAACGCTTTTTTTCCCTAGAATGTGGGTGTAAAGGTATTTGCCAAAAAGCTTTCCGTAAATCAATTGAAGAAATATATTTAGCCTCTTCTAATAAACTTAAAATTCTGTCTACTCTGGGTAGACAGTAGGCATCAGGTTTTGGTATTGAGTTCAAACGGCGGCCGTCAAACCAGGAACGCATTTCACCTGTTTTCTTTTAAACTAATAGAACTGGGGAGTTCCATGAACTATATGACGGCTCACAAACTCCTAAATTTATAATTTCATCTACCTCTTTATTATTATTATTATTTCTAACATATAAGGTGACATTGGGTATTGTCGCATTTTAAAAGAACGTGCATCGCCTGTATCTATGAATAATTGCATTTTGTTTGTACGACCAAGTTTGTCATCACCACTTATTTCATAAAAAGATTTAATAACTTTGTCCACCTCCAATTTTTGAAATTCATCTAGTGTATTTAAACTATTTACGTCACACTTAGGATAATTATTTAAAATATTCAAAGAACAAGTTTTATTATTATTTACAAACCAAGTATCACTTTTAAAATCAATTTTTAAGGCAAACTTTTTACAAAAATCAT